ATTGGACCGTGATGGGCTGCAGTCCCGCGGTTGCTAGAAGTGGTCGAAAGACCCCCCACTGCAGGAGAGCCCGGCAACTCCCACAGGGCCATTGAGCCTGTTTGCCGATAGGGATAGGCGGCCCTGATTTCAATCGCCCGGCCAGCTGGGGCAGTTAGGGGGAACACTGCTCCGCCACTAGTCTTGGGAGGGAGGGTTTTGGGACTGGAGGGACCTTCGCTTCGGGGCAGACGGACTTGTTGCTCGTCTCGGTGGAGGAGAGAATCCCGTCTCTCGAGGCATTGCATGCCGGTGATTCAGCAGCCAAGAGAACGGAATGCCCTCGACCCGTCCGACGTGTGCTACGGCCCACGTTTGAACGGGGGGAGGAACCCACACCTGCGTTTGCACACCGAAGGCGCTGCCTCACGGCAGCGATTTGGCGCGTCCGATTCCTCTTGGAGGCCGTCGTGAGGGGGGGAAGGAGTTGTGTTGGCGATGTCGCTCGACATCGCCAACGCCTTCAACTTCTTCCCCTGGGACCAAGTTAGGCTGAGTTTGACCTATTTTAGGGTCCCCGTCACCTGGTCTCAATTATTCGGGACTACTTCCGGGGTAGAAAACTAGAGTTTCGCAACAAAGTGGAACTCCAGTGCGGAAGGGCGGTCTACTGCGGCGTTCCGCAGGGGTCCATGTTTGGACCCCTATTATGGAACGTCGCGTATGACCAAATCCTCCGCCTTGCCCTCCTCCAGGCTGCACCGTCGTCTGCTATGTGAACGACACTATGGTGTTAGCCGGGAGTAGAGGCTGGCGCGACGCCCTGCTCATGAGGCGTTTGGCGGTGGACCAGGTAATATTGCTATAATCGCGAACAGTATTAGCGCCGTCGGAACACTTCAGGAGGAACCGTTTCGACTGCGCTACAACGAGGAAGCGGATGTGCAACTGCTGCGCTAAGCATCACCTTGCACATTCCGCATTTCGGACTTTGAGCCGAACCACGCCAAATAATTACCAAATATGGTAATCTCCTTGTCGCCAGGCACCTCCTCCGATAAGAATACACAATATTATAAAAGAGCGGAGAAGACCGCCCGCCATAGACTTAACACCTCGGTCTCTCGCCCGCGACATACGCAACCGACACGTGCTTTGCACATTACTATAAAAGTTCTGGGAGTAGTAATTAAAACACGTCTAGTACCATTTATAATAAAGTCTTTTATATAAAGTACACTTAGCTGCTGACTTTTAATACAATCCTACCCACCGCCACATACTCTGCCGCGCCCGCATCACCGATTCCGAACTCTCTTCGCGTCTCTGCAACACGGGGCACGACAAAATTGGTGGTAGCGGTGGGATCGGTGTCCGCCGGGCCCTGGGTGTTACCTGTGAACAAAAGTGAATTACGGGTAAGGAAAAGGTAGTGTAAGTGACAAGGAAAGAAAAATTTAAACGAGAAACCATCGGAGCCAACTAGTGGACATCGGAGATACGTCTACTGATAAGCGCTACCGGCTATTTCAAAAAAGGGCGAGAAATTACACGACCGAGAGGAACAACTACTCCGTAAATACATTAGACGACAAGTCTACAAAAAAAAATCTAGGAGAGAGCTCAAAAAATCATTGAGAGCCCTCGGAGACAACACACTGGGACCACAAGGTGAAACGGAGCCAGCAGAGGACAGCGATAATCGGTGAAAGACGACGCTGCAGCGTAATCAAGACGACCGTCGAAGCTACGGCCTACGATACTCATTGTCAGCGACACCGGAGCCTAAGGCGAATGTACCAGCGGTGACCGCGATCTGCCCAACGCCACTGACCCAATGACGAGCAACGACTTGCCGACTCAACCAAAACATGATGAACTACAAAAGAGCCGCGACAACGTTATTGTAAGTCGAGAAACCATTGTAACTTAAGCGATTAGGTTTATGCGAGCGTAAAGACGTGAATGTTGAGCGAAAGCGGTATTCCTAACCGACCTATATCGAATCAATCGTGGCTACATAGCGTACCAGCGCGATTAACTATCGAACGTCTATCGAATTCCAACGAGACAGTTGCCGACGCTATAGATAACGCGCGTGAAACATTAGAGCTTGTGCGACGTGTGGTAGACTACTCGAGCGAAACCGAACGCGAATCTCCAGTGCACGTAACCGCCGAACGTGAATTCCCTTTCGACGAGATAGACCATAGCATACTACCGGACGTGCAAGTTACAGACGACACCCGACGTACAAGACGCCGCGCATACTTACCCTCACACAGTACTATTAGCGACGCCTCGCAAAGAAGAGATTTCTCTTTAACTTCTTACGATAGTAGCGTATTCGACCCACTTGACGAAATGGCCACCGAGCAACGCGACGAAAACCTACACGCGGCGGAGAACAGAAGAGATTAGGAAATCTCTCGCCCCCACGGGCCTCTACTGCGGGAGGATCCGTTGAGCGACGTAAACGATCCTCAACCAGGACTTAGTAGAATTCGAAGTGACGTTGACCTATATAATACTGCTAACGAGCAGTTATTAGCACGCATAGAGGAATTACGAGATACTATGTATACGAATGCGGCTCTATTAACCAACTCTCACATAGACGACCCACTAAACGTAAGGAACACGAACATAGAAACAGAACGATTCCCTCCAGACAGACGAGGACAAGATCACAATGACCATCTCACAGACGGGTTACCCCCGATTAACGAGGATCGATCCCGGCGCCTCAGAGAAGCGCGAGACCAGATCCCCATATTCAATGGTTCGCAAGATGATAAATTAATAGAATTTTTAACGGCGTGCGAATATGCGTTCGAACTGATTCACTCTGCTGACGAATCCACATTAATTCGAGTAGTAATCTGCACTAAACTAAAGGGCATTCCCCTAACTGAGGTTAAAAACCGAAACATTTCTACTTTTGCTGTTCTAAAGGACGTGTTAGAAAAATGCTTTATGAAAAAGAAATCAGTAACTCGACTACTTCGAGATTTTAATAATTTGCATCAGAAGCCTGGAGAAGATGCGCGACTTTCGGAACCCGTGTAGAAACATTAACCACGGATCTATTCGAAGCCGGTACAGAAGGGGATTTTTACTTTCCCTCGCAGAAACTCGGCATCTATTTCTTTTTAAAATCGTTAGCCCTTGTCAACTATTAACTAGAACTAAATGACAGGCTACAAACAATAGTCCGATCCCGCGCACCCGCAACTTTAACCGAGGCAATAGCAGGAGCCATAGAGAAAGAAAGGATCAAAAAAACCCATGAAGCTCCTGCGCGGACATATGAAACAAACCGGTATAACCGAAGTTCTTTCAAAAACACTAAATGAGATGTTCCCATAATACAATGCCAAAAATGCGGAAAAATGGGACATCAAGGACGCGAATGCCGTAGCAGCTGATATAGCAACCGGTTCATCCTACCCAAACCAGCAGTGCCTCCTCGCGTGAATGCGACAGTACACGATGTAAGAAAAACGGACACACTCACGATAGCTGCTGGTACATACACGGGAAGCCTACCGAGACATGGGAACCACGAGCGACTACCGTAAACACTCGCGCCTAGTGACTATCGCCGCGCTAGATATAAATAAACCATCGACATCTCACAGTAACGGGAGCGTCAGGTTCAACAGTGACCAGGAAGAAGGAAACAAAAAGGAGCAAAATCGCATGCGCGACTACCGCATAAACCAGATCCAGCGAAATTTGCATAGCCGCGCCGGATTTGACTTAGTAAACTTGCCGATAAAGGAAGCTAAACGAAAAAGAATACCATTTATTGTTGACACGGGATCCGCACTTAGTCTCGTAAAAATACAAATATTAGACGATGATACACCTATGACTGCAGAAAAATTGACGTTAACGGGTATCACCGGACATAAAGCTTTCACTATAGAAAAAATAACCGCCACCGTCAGCTTAGGAAAACAGTGTCGGAAATTTGAACTATTTGTCGTACAAGATGATTTTCCAATCGAATACGAAAGGATCTTAGAAATAGACTTCCTCTGCGAAAACCGCGTTAAATTCAACTATAGAACAGAAACAATGACGATTTCCGGACAAAGTCTACCGCTAATACTACATCAAACATACAAAATCACCGCGCGCAGCAAAGTAATAAAACACGCCGCGGTGAACATGAACCAAGGGGGAGTAATCCCAGCTGAAGAAATTTCCCAGGGAATTTTTATTGAAAATTGCGTAGTATATATATAATCTTTATTGGTTCCCCTTAGGGTTACAATTTTATACATTCTGAACTCTTACCACCTCATTTACATTAACCTTATACTAATCTTACATACTAATTCGCCGTCTTTAGCCTATACCCTATCCTGCTCCTGCAGATCCCCCACCCTACACACACACACACCCGCAGTCCTAACCTATTTACCCTATCAGGACCCCCGCTTCCGGTTCCTATCATGAGTCCTCCTCTCCATTCCTCTCTTCCACTCTCTCATTCGTACCCTCACCCCCCCCATTCCTCCCCCTCTCCCTCCCACCCCCTTCCCTTTTCAACTCCTCCAATTTTCTCAGCCAAACCTCCCGTTCTCCATCCTCTCCCAATACCACTCCCCTCATTTGTTGCCATCCCTTCACCTCCTCCCATTCTACACATTCCTCCCACACATGTTGCCACGTTTCTTTCCCACACTCACACAATCTGCACTTCATCCACTCTTCTCCTTCCCAATATCTACCACCCCTCATTTTATTTCCCAGTCTATACCTTGCCACCCTCTGCCACTTGCTCTTCCCCCATCCCATTTCAAACACCCTGGCACTCCCTCCCCCTTAATCCAATTATAATCCTCATTAAATCTTGATTCCAACATTTTTTCCTTTCTTTCTTCCCTCTGCATTTCCCTCTTTTTCGATATCATCCCTTCCATTCCCCTCCCTTCATCCCTCTCTCTTCCCCGAATGTTTTCGTTTTCTCCTCCCAATCAGAACCCTTACTCTTCCCTTTACTTCTTAATTTAATCTCCCCTTCTGGCCAACTCGCTCCCTCTTCCCTCCTCCAGCCTTAATTTAAATCCTAATACTCTTTTTCCCGCCCTTTCCCTTAACTTTCCTCTCTGTACCTCTTCTCTGATCATATAGCCCAGTGTACTCCATTCTACCCCCAACACCCACTTCAAATATCTTTCCTGCAATCTCTCTAGTGATTCCCTCTCCTTCCACCCCCATATCTCCACCCCATACCCAATCACTGGCCATACCAGCGCGTCAAACAACCAGCACCTTCTACCCCAATCGCTCTTAAACCTCCATTTCCCCATCCCCCATACTTTTCCCATCACTGCTGCTCCTCTCCTCATCCTTTCTTTTACATATGCCTTCTGCCCCTCATTGCTTTGTACAACGTACCCCAAATATGAAAATTCTTTTACTTCCTCTATCACCTTCTCTTTCCATCTCCAATTCATTTTCCTTTTCCTTCCCCCTCCCTTCCTAAACCTCATTATTCTTGTTTTGTTCACATTTAGTTCTAGCCCTTTCCCATCTAAATACCTTTCCAATCTGGCCAACATGCATTTTATTCCATCCTCCTTTTCCGCCAACAGCACCATGTCGTCTGCATATGCCAGCGAAAAAATGTTTCCCTCTCCCAGTCTTACTCCCTCCCATCTGCCCCCTCTCAACTCCTGCTCCAGATCCGCCGTTAACAAATTGAACAGCATTGGGCTTAATGGACAGCCCTGTCTCACTCCTCTTCCCGTCCAAAAACACTCCCCCAGATTCTCCCCTACTCTTACTCTATTCCTTACCTCCCTTAACACATCTTCACATCTTACCACTAGTCCTTCCCTTACCCCTCTATCTCTTATTGATTTCACTAGCGTCTCTCTATCCACGGAATCAAATGCGGCTCTCAGATCCACGAAAAGTGCAACTATTTTCCCCCCTGGCTTGCTGACCTGCCTCTTTATTAAATAATTTAACACATATATATTGGGTGTATATCAGTTGGACACGGGGCAATTGGACACAGTCCAATCACAAGTCGCTGTTCCAAGGGACCCTACAAATGTCTCTAATCACACGGTGCTGTGATTGGCTGTGTCCAAATGCACCGTGTCCAAGTGCACCGCTTCCATATATATTATCCATCGTTCCTAAACCCTTTCTGAATCCAGTTTGATTCTGCGGAATCATACCCTTTCTCTCCACTTCCTCTCTTAACCTATTCGCTACAATCTGTGCATATACCTTATATAATGCCGTCGTCAATAATACCCCTCTGTATTCCTCCACGTTTATGCCCTCCCCCTTCTTCATAATCGGAACTATAATTCCTTTGTTCCATTCCTCGATCCATCCTTCTCCCTTCCAAATCCTGTCACAAATCATCCATACCCAGCGTTCCATTTCCTTCCCTCCATATTTCCACACTTCCGCCGGAATCCCATCAATCCCTACCGCCTTTTTATCTTTCATCCCTTTCAGCACCTCTTTCACGTCCTCCCACCTTAATCCCTTCTCCTGATCCTCTTCCCTTCCCTCTCCCAATCCTCTCCTTACTCTCCCATATACTCTTCCCAGCATGTCCCTGAAATATATATCCCAATCCTCCCTACTTATCCCCTCATTTACTCTATTCATCTTTCTTGCCTTCCCCACCAGCTCCCACACCTGCCCCTCTGTTTTAACATTCTTCAGCTCTCTTTCTCACCTATTATTTTCCTCCTTCCTTTTTCTCTCTGTTAATTCCCTATACTCTATTCTTTCTTTTCTATATAATTGCCTACACCTCTCCCCTCCGCCTCTTTTCCTATTTCCTCTCTCACCCCTCATAATCCCTCTTTAATTTCCCTCCTTATTTCCTTTAATATCTCTTTCATTTCTTCCTTCATCGCCCTCCCCTCCGGCGATCTACTCGTTTTGCAGCTTTTCTTAAAAATATCCGCTACCTCCCTCCCCTCCAACGATTCCCTTTCTAGTATCTCCCTTTTTCTCTTCTGACTTTCTACTATACTATCACTTATGCTATCACTCCTCCCTCTACCTTCTTTCCTCGCAAAACCATCCATCTTGCCCTCTATACTCTTTGCCTTCTATATTCTCCCGTTCAAATCCTTTCTATATCTTCCCTATACTCCTTGCTCGAGTGACTTTCACCGCGTACCGTCTTGCCGATACCAAAAATCCCCACTCCCCGCTCGCTCTCTCCTCCCTTCTCCCGTTCTCTCTTCCACGGAACGTCTTCCTAACCTCACTCTACTACTCCTTTCCACGTTACTCCTCCCGGCTTCTCTCCCTTCCCATCCACCTCCCTTCACTCCCACGCACTCCACACACTCTCCCCTCCCATCTCACACCCACACACTTTCTCTACCTCACTCACTCTCTCACAGATGCACCTCACTTTCTCACCGAGGACTCACGAACTCCTACACCTTCGCCACCGGAAACGGAAGTCCTGGAAATTGCCTAGTAAAACCTGACAATTATACATGTCCTACAACAATAAATAATACCACCGACAACCCTGTCGGGATAATCACACCTTACGTAATGTTAGAGGACACTACGGTGGGTGACGATGAAATTGACAAAGCAGGCAAGAATATAAAAGAAGGTAACGGAGAAAGCGCAGAGAGTACAGTTCAGCAACAAACAAATGTTCCGAGCGATGACACAAAAGAGAAAATAAATATTGCCGACGAAAGCAGCTCGATGGAAATTGCAAAATCATCGGACACTCAAAAGGCTCCGTTGAAAAATATAATTGAGAGACCAAGCGTAACTACGAAAGCAGAAAGCACGACAAGACAGAAAGAGACGTCGAAGAAGAAACCATCGTCGAAGAGCAAAACAAAGTCGAAAGAACTGAAGCTTGAAGTCGGGTGTAATAATAATAATCGGGAGAAGCTGGAAAACGGTGTTAAAAAGATGTCAAAAATAGTCCTCCCGAATCCAACAAATCGTTGGTTGATACTGAAGTCAAAGATCCTAAGCCAAAAGTGCTCGACAGCGCAAAAGTTGTTGAAGTAAACGGCAACGTGAAAGGTAAAGCTAATTCTCGAAAGATAAAGCCTCAAAAGGTAAAATAGAAACAGAAGTCACTATCGATCTTACGTCATCGACAGTGCCAACAAGCGAAGCTTTAAATGAAACGAAAATTTTACCGTGTTCAGATAACGCAGAGAAAGTGATTGTCCCGGAACCAAAGCAAATAACCGAAGAAATTTCGAGAATTATAAAGACGCCAACAATAGTTACTAAGAAGACCGATTTTAAAGAAGAGCCCAAGGAAATCGTCTTGTCGCCTAAAATAAATTGGCAAACTGAAAAAATAATACAAACTGATATCATTCATAAGAATGATAAAATAGAGCGCAATGAAACTGAAGCTAAGAAGTCGATTAAAAACAAAAGAATGGAGTATCGTCAAGCGAACGCTAAATTAAAAATAGAAAGGGCAATGTCTCCAAAGAGTTCGGAGACAATAGGTGAGGATAAAGCTTTCATTAGTGATAACGATGAATGATGAAAAAACTGAGAAAGGAGAAACGGAGAAAGGTCAGGCGAAAACAGGCAAACAGAAAAGATCCGATAAAACGAAGTATAATACGCAAGATACAGATAAACCAAGAGAAGCTAGCGTCGAAGTACCACTGCCAGTCGAGAGTAAAAATAAATCGACCGGGAAAGAGGATAAACTTAAGATAGACTCTTCATCCAAATCTCTAATCGAACCTATAGCGGAAACTTACGCCCAACCAGCAAAGGAAACACATTTCGCTAAAGAAAACGTGTCGGTAAGCGACAACAGCTATCTTACTCAGTCCAAATCAAATACTAAAGGCACCGACGTTAAAATGTCTGTTAAAACAGGCGAGAAAGGAATGACGATGAATGTTCAAGATAATAAACGCGCGCCAGAGGCTACGTCAAAGAGTAAAAAAAAAGGTAGGTTAAAGGATAAGTCAAAGGACGCTCAACAGGCGCGTAATACGAAACGCAAGGAATTAAAATCGAAAGATGAAATCAACACAGGCTCATTAACACAACGAATTTCACAAATACAAACCTACCTCATCAGAACACAAAAAATATGCGATACATAGCAAAAGATAGGCACAACGTGGGAAATGTGCACTAATTTATACAACCTAGCCAATAAAGATCTATAACGCGCAAAAAAATTAACCAATAGCATAAACAAAATGTATAAGTCCACTTCAAACTTACGTCGTGAATTAATAGATGGAATAAGTTTAATAGCCAAATCCTTATTTGGAACGATGGATGCCGACGACGAAAAGATTATAAACGAACAATTACATCTATTACAAAACAAAGAGGAAACGATACAACACGCAATAAAAAATCAGTTACAAATTCTAAACGAAACTATAGGACACTTAGGTAACTTAGAAGAAACATTAGACAATAATTTCAAAATAGTATGGAATAATATGAATCAATTTTATAGAGCAGAAGCAGAAATCTACAAAAAAGAACAAATTACTGAACACGCAGTAATAAACGACTTAACGAAAGACATTAATGACATAATATCATACATAGATAACAACAAGTTGGAAAGATTACTACCCCAACTTACACCCATTGAAAATATAATCGCACAACTTAAGGAATCAACAATACACTTATCTAAAAACATATATTCACACCTGCCATGGAGTACTGGCTAGAAATAGAAAAATTCATTGAAATCAGCGCATACTACAACAACAAAACGATTTACACAATTTTGAAAATTTCTCTAATAACATATCCCACCTACACAATTATTAACACTATACTCCCAATACACAAAATAAACAACACGTTCATGTTCACAGAAACAACATACTCTAAATTCGCGATAGATACAGAATCAAATACTTACCTTACATTACACGAAAGCGAATTATTAGAATGTATTCACATAAAAAATCACTACACGTGTGGACAAGAAAACACAATTTATAAAATTCACCAAACAACACCGTGCGAAATCCAAACGTATACAAACACAAGAAATAAAGAAATAT